TAATTGTAAAAAGAAAGGTTTTTAAATTACGACTCGTAAAGCAGGTACAATATGCATCGGGCCCCCTAAGGTATGTAGGACTTGTTATTATAATACTTGCGCCACTCAATCGACTCATATCATTGAATGCCGTTAAACGCACACCCTATAGTTCAAGGGTTTCGACCACTTGGTGGCTCATATACAGCTGTCCTAAAGTCGGCAGCGATACAAAATATTTTTGTCGCATCACATGCGTGGATTTTCGTTTTGTGCACAAATCCTCAATTTTTCCTATTTCGGTAAGTACCAAAAGTACATCGGCATTTTTGATCCTCTCTTTTACCTAGTAGTTTCCTAAAAATGGCTTATTATTTGAACTTATGTGTATCCTCGGTATCCGTATATAGCTTCACTTATAAAGTAGTGTACCTTATATGTTTCCGATTATCTCACATTTTCCTTGTTTGAGTGGCTTATCATAAAATCTTCTTACGAAAAATCGTAAAGTGATGAAATTTTGTATTACTTAAACGAACTATGACTGAGAGAATGCGGTAGTAAATGTTAGTATTCGTATTATATTGATGATAGAATCCTGTTTTTCTACAATCTCTCTGCAATATGAGAAAAAAATAGCTTTCTGTTATAACTGGTAGACTTAATTGGATTAATCTTATCACTCGAAGAAAGAATCAGTTATGTTGGTTTCATCATCAGCATCCCTTAGCTTAGCAAACGTCAGTGATTTTTCAACTTATGCTATTTTTCTGTGCTTACTAATCCCAAAGAATGAGATTAACGATTAACTCATTAATACTCAACTCTCTTTTCTTCATTCAAAGCTGCACAAGGTACAAAATACTATCCTTTGATTGAGCGTACAGGAATTGCTGAGCGCAGATTAGCAGATCGGGAACCCATAATTGCTTTCGGTTCCAATATCTTTTCCTTCCATATGTCATTAGAATAGAAAACGCGAAAGTTCGCGTTTGCATTGTCCCATGTTTATTCTTTATTTCCGTTCAATTTGTTTCCATATTGTCGGTTTTCATACCGAATACTTTCCCAGACTCGGTAGCTTATGTTTTTCCGTTATAATCGGAGTACTTAGACATTTCTTTTTGGATCCACGTTACGTATTTGGGTACGTAAGCGTAGACTCCGGGCAGTTTTGGATGGGCGCATTTTATGCCCCAGCTGACAATTCCACCGACAAACCATTTCTCCTTGTCCTCCTCATCTTGACACAACAGAGGTCCTCCAGAATCACCCTTGAAGAAAAACGAATCATTTTTACAATTATTGTTACCTTTCACTTTTATAGTAAAAAATTACAGTAGCAAATAACGTGTTTCTCTGAGACCAACGTACTGTACGAAAAACTAACTTTTCTTGTCAAATACACATATCTTTGGTATTTTTATGATGTTTTGCATATGCATATTTAAAATAATCCAGGAATCAATGTCAAACAATTAAGCTTGTTATTACAACGTATACTTTAGTTTTATGAAATACATTGAAAGTTAATTCTCGACTTGCCACGTACATTTTTATATTCTATGGAGTATACACAAGTGTCTTAATTGTTTAAATAAATTGTTTAAGTAATAAATTTACTTGGCATGCATCTTTTCCTCCATCCTCGTAGCCAGCACAGATCATCCCATCAGTGACATTCAATTCTTTATGCGCTAACCACATGTTGCAGAGGTGTCGAGGTAGAATAGGAACTACAACCTCGTTTACAGCTGGCTCATATTCAGAGGCTGGAATAAAGCAACAAGATAATAAATTAAACTAAACTTTATGTATATTTGCTTGCTACATATTTGGAAGAAAGATTATTTTCTAATTATTTAAAGTTATTTTCTAATTATTTTAATTATTTTTCGTATACATATATGTATACCAATAGAAATTGTACAAGAGAAGGAAAATAGGCTTGAACATGTATGAAAAATTTTTTCTCAGGAAGTTAGGTTGTTTATGTGCACATATTAGATTAGTATTGCAAGTAAACATTTTGAAACCAATATTGTTTCATGTACGAGTAATACTTACAATCAGTATCGTTTTTCTTGCCCCATCCAATAACGGTGCAATGTGTATTGGGTGTAAGATAAGTGTCAGCAGTCGGTAAGCACACTGGCCTCAAGTGTTCATGATAATCAACTGGCTTCTCAAGCTACAATACATAATTTACATGAAAACACGAGTTCAAAAGATGCAGCAGCATCAAAATTTAAACTACAGTCATCATTTTACAGTATACGATAGATACATGTTAAACGGAAGATTCGAATATTTTGCACAATAATATCAAATCAATGTAAAAATGTATTTACTTGAAATAATGCAACATCATTGTCGTGAGCGACACCCAGGTTGTAATATGGATGAGGTATCACTCTTTTCACCTTCAGCTTTTGACCAAGATAAGTGTGAGAAAGTCTCCTAGTGATGCCAAGTTGTATCGTCCAACCGGATACATCTGAATGACTGAAATCATTAGCGTACAGAGAATTAATTCATATTTGGGATTCTTCGTTTATCAATACGTAATATTCGTTGCCCAAAGAATGTTTCAAGCGATGCTTCCCTTATACATAAGGAATTTGTCAATAATTAAAATTTTGCAACATTCCAAGTAAATTACTTACTTCCCAACGCAATGAGATGCGGTCAACACCCATTGATCAGCAATGAGGACTCCAGCACAGTAGAAGATCTGTTCTGGACCACCGAGAAGGGCTGCAAGAAATGGCCAATCACCAGGGGCTGACTCCACACCACCCACTATTCGCTTCACCCTCACGTTTTCGAATACGGAACGTCTACGGCCGCAAGCTGCAGCAGAATCGATCATCACACACTCGCGTCGCAAAAAGACCCAGGAGAACTTTAGAAATTCAATGATTTTCTCTTGTACAGTTCTCTATACAGTTTTCCGATAATTTACCATATTTAACGCAAGTAAGTGAGACCATGGGGTAAAGATCTCGCTCCTTGATGCATCCTTGAAATTGCTTCAGTAAATTAGAATTTTTGTTACGATATCCGGAACTTCTCGACTCGATTGTGGTCAAGTTGCTGTTCATCAACTTAAATCCGTTTGAAACTCTGAAAATGCAATCAAATCTGTCATTTTATCAATTTTTCGTATTTTTTAATTCAAAACTGACAGAGCATTGTCGATGTCAAGGCGTAAAGTTAATAAGTTACGATCAATTACATACATAAATGTCTTTCTGTGCATTTCTTGCGAAATATAATAATTTGAATGTACAAATAAAGATTTATAAAACTGTTACGATGTATCGATCATATGTAATATTCATATTATGTTATTTAAACGACATGTATTGAGAGAGATAACTTACGTATATCCCAACATAGCGCAAACCTCTTGCGGCGACGTTGATCCCCAGTGCGAGACACACGCCGGCATAAATTTACCCATTTCAGCATGATACACATCCAGACGGCCCTCGCCGACGTCCCCATTCCTCGTGCTTAATTTCACTAAAAACCGAGGTGCAGTATGTAGTGTTGTGCATAGATGATTTTAAAATTAGCTAGATAAAGATAAGATAAAAATATATAAATTTATCTTAGATAAGATAAAGATGATTTCGTTTTGAATATATCTAGATAAAAGATAAAATTATATGATTCATCTAGATAATTTTCAGATAATATTTTTAAGACTTCATGTAAACACAGTAGAAAAAGTTATAAAAAATTATAGAAAAATTTAAATTATAAAGGGGGATATAGAATATATCCAGGTTAGGTTATATGGCACACACATAAATGCATGGTCTACAACGCCATCCATATTTAAATAGTGTAACTGGTAAGTATTTTTATGTGGCCCTAAACCAAATTATCTGTACGTTATCTTAGATAATTTAGTAAAGATAACACTTTCTTTCATCTAGGATGCAGATATAGATAATACTTATTTTTATTATCTATATAAAGATAAGATAACGCTAAAATTTTATGTAGATAATCATCTATATAATTTTATTTAGATAACAGCAAACACTGGCAGTATGGAACTTGAAATCTGAGAGACATCTAGGTTCACAATCGAAAATTCATTTTAATTAATTAAAGTTAAATTAAATTAGATTAAAGTTTCTTTTAAAATCACTTGGGTGTTGTATTATTTATATGTTAATTATTAATTAATCGTTGATTATAATAACGTTGAAGAAATAAGCGAAGACATTTTATCATTCGAAAACCACAAAGATGTCAAAAAGAGTTACTTTATTTTAACCGAGATATAATTTCTCTATAATTTGTCTTGCGAAGTATCAGTGGCGTTTCACGATAAAAAATCCTCGGCAATTTTTAATCGATTAAAAATACAGTCACGAATGTAAAATAGGAAACAGAAAAATATATAGTACCAATCAGGAGACACAGTAATTTCTCGCGCCAAGTATAAATGCAGCGAGACCGACCGTGTATAAGTATTTACGTCTAAACATATGTGTAATCGTAGTATACCATGTTATTTGTTTCATTAATGTTAATTGTTATTAAATTAATAATCACTTTCAATTGCACTGCTCTGAATGAAGAATCATTGTTTTAATATATATAATATATTTTTTCGTTTACGGATTTACTTACGGCAATGTCGCTCGTCCTGTCCCCAAGGACAATCCATGACTCCATCGCAGATATGACTGGCCGACATGCATCTTTTTTCACCGCAGTGTAATGAAGATTTCGTAGAAAGGGTAGTTTTGGTGGAAGGTCCCTTGATTATCTTGCCGAATGTGGAGGACGCTGACGCCGACATTGAGGACGACGTGCTAGAATTACAGTTTCCGCATCCGATCTCGTCGCTGTGATCCAAGCAGTCGAGATGACCATCGCATCGCCAATCGAACGGAATGCACCTTGTGCCATCGCACTGAAAGCCACTGGTGCACACTGTATAAACGAATCGTAGCAGAATGGAAACCACGTGCTTTCTGGCAATTGACGTAATATAGTTTATACTGTAAAAAGAAAGTACATAAAATTACATGAACAACAACCGTAAATATCACACGACTTATAAAATGTGCACACTTTGTTGTTCGTGTAATTTTATATTTACTTTCTTTACAATGTATGTTGCACATCCTTAATTAATAAATTTATAATATACTTTAATTAACGAAGTTTTAATAAATAACAATAATTTGTACTTATTCATTTAATTAATTTCAATAAATATTAATTAAATTTTGAGTATTTATCGAATGGGAAAAAGAATAATAGTCCAGAAGGTAAAGTTTTAATTGCAAATGAAACGTTTGATATTACTTACATAAAAAAATGGGAATAAATAAAAATAGCAGTGTAACAATATATAGATATTGTTCTACTTGGAGAAAAGAACGTAAAAATGTAAGATAACGATATCCGGATCAGCAGACGAAAAATTACGGAAATATATTACGTTCCGCAGAGATATTAACATTATCGACATTCTCTGTCGTAACGTCCTATCTTTCGTAATATGTCTTCTTCTACGATGGACACGATCGATCTTGCGCTTGCGGTTCGATACCTTCACACGTATATGCATCAAGCGCGATATGTACACATGCATCAAGCGCGACTCAATAAAGCTGCTTGGCGCCGCAGATGGGCCGTCATACGATAGTTTAATATGGATTTTGCAATTAAGATTCCATCAGCGGTGACACATGCGATAGCTCGGGTACACAAAATCGCGATATAGCCCCGCATGTGCGAACACGTATGCGTACATACAGGGTGTCGCTGAACCTCTTTTGTAATTACGACATGCACAGATGTGCTGCCTTCAGTGTTTCAACTGTACACGTGATGTACTGGATAACAGAAATACCCTTTGACGGAGGTTTCCTACTGTACGGATATCGGTGCCTCCGGGTCACGTTATAATCATCTCAAGAATTTAGATCCTTGAGATCTCTCCTCTGGCTTGTGGGTGCACCTTTAGGAAATTCTATTCGAGCGTTATTGAACATTATTAAATAAATAAAATTAACGTTATTGAACAAACGCAACCACCGCTGTTATATAAATTGCTAACAAAGTTATATCTCAAGGGGAGCTAATAAAACTAGCAAATCGAATTGTAAGTTATCGCCGAACGGCGAAGCAAACTTTCGAAAGAAAGATGCGGAAAGAAAGAAAATCGGGGAAACAACCATCGAAATCTTGAGAATGTGTTAAATTCGCCCGATTGAGTGGGCTTCGTAATTACAACGCAATTCAATCTTAATTAACCGTGGACGCGGATGAATTTCTCTCTCTCTCTCTCTCTCTCCCCCCCCTCTCTCTCTCTCGCTCTCGCTCTCGCTTTCGCTCTCGCTCTATCAGCTGGTGCGATCCACCAATTGCGAATTAAATTCACTACGAGACGAGGGATGGGTACTTCCGATCAATCCTGTCACCACGCCTGTCGCCGCGATTTACGTAATATTTGCTTTGGAAATTGCATCGCGCGCGTGTACGGTCGTTTAATTCTCTCTTCTCTCATCGTGCGAGCCATTCCACGAGATTTTAAGCGCCGTTATCGTGCGCGTTATGCATATGACGTGCACGTGACTATCTTTTAAAATTCAGACAAAAACGCTTTAAAAATCTCTAGGGTATTTCTGTCGTTGTATCAGTCCTTAAATAGTTATCTCGTGATATTTCCAATAAACTGAAACTACTTTGTAGAATTTTGTACTTTAGAGAACTTTATATTATAGAGAAAAGATAATATACACGTTCAAATGTTTGCTTTGTCACAAATAGCTTGTTATTTGTATTACAATTAATTACTACAAGTAATTGCATTATTCTCAGTCTTTTTATTTGACACAGAAAGAGCTTTTTGTGTAGCTCGGATTATATTATGCTATAAATAAAAAAGTTATATGTACATAATATGTATGTTCATTCATATTATTGATTTAATTTTAAAAATAAAAAGATTAAATACTACATATCTATATTATACGTTAAACTGCCTATCTTGATTTAATTTTTGTTTTTAATAAGAGAGAATTTCTCTATGGCAGTAGCGAAATAATATTAAATTTCCACAGGAAGGAAGTTTTGAAGGGCAAACCGATCGATCGGATCCAGGAAATTTCACGAGAGAAAGCCAAACGACAATAGGAAATAGAACATAAACGAGAAAGGAAGACAAAGGGAGAGAAATACCAAGCGTAAACAGAGTCCGAGATATCAAAGGAAGAATGAACAATGGACATCAAGTTAGTCAACAATTAGTTCCGTTTTGTGGTCGTATCCTATATTTAATGTCCGCGCGCGAATCAGTGTGGAACAAAAGGACAGAAAACTCATAAATAATATTGCTTCCCACACTATTTCGCGCAAAGCTGTATTGTGCAACGGAATCTGTTGGTAGGTACATAATGATAAGCTGCTTAATCTCGTTGACATTTCGAACGGGATAAATTTTTATAAGAAATTATTTGACTATAAAATATCTATGTAATCATAATTGGAAATTATTTAATAATTATCAGGGAGATATATGAAAATTATTTTTTAGCAAACAAACACTATTCCACCGCGGAAAATAGCCAAGAACAACAAACAAGCGTTTTTCCTCAATCGCAGATTTGTTCAAGCGTTATAAAAAATTAATGCTAAGCTGATTTACATATTCTCTGTATCGTCCAACTGTCTCAAAGAGATTATTATAATCCCTCAATTACCAAGTTTAGGACAATTCGAGTATCAGCTTTTATTCGTGATAAGCTCATTTCTGTTACATTTGTCAAGTTGATTAAATAATAAATTTGTCTTTTCTGTGCATTAATCAAAGAATTATAGCGGACTCTTGATCAATCTAATAGAAAATTTAATTAAATTGAAACAATAGAAAGACGCAATGGAGAAAGCTGTGCGGAAGCTAGAAATTAAGTTGCGAAAGTGTCGAATTTAGTGTCACTTACCCGGTTTCTCGGCTCTTCGTGCCGCTTCGATCACCTCATGGTGCCCGATACACTCGTCGGAATTCGGACTTTCCGGGAAAAGTTCGCACTCCAAGTAATCCGGGAGAGACAAGCCGAAAACTTTGAGAAAGAAACCGCAGCGTCTTTTGGTTTCTGAAATTAATCGAGAAGAAATTCGATCAGGACCTGAATATCAACTTGTGTGATACACGGTTTAAGGAAATATATGTATATATATTGCGGTTTAGCAGCGCAAAATCCAATATATGGATTTGACTATATATGCTTAACGGTTTACATGTCGAACAGTGCAATCAAACGCTATTAAGATCCACGGGTATTAACCATTACTGTTAATGCATCTATTGCGGCTTACGCTTGCAATTTACGGTTTGACGGGTAATAACAACGCACGTATTCGTCCATATTCTGACAACAAATAAATTACATTACATAAAAATGCGAAAGAGATTTGAATGTTGCATTAACTTTGGGAAAGAATTGTAAAGTGGAAAAATCATTTCCATGTATCTAACTAAGACTAACACAGGTTCTAAATTAAATGATGACGAGAGATGGCAAATAATTTACACTTACGAAAGCAAAGACTGCGACAGGGACGTACAACGCGACCTCGAGAGCCGCATTTCGGTACGAAAACGCTGCACAGGAACAGAGCAGCCAGTTCGTAACATCTGACGTCAACGACAGCGTCGTAAAGCTCCAGCTCGTGCTGGGCCTCCCGCTGTCCGAAATTACCCATGTAATTTGGAAACACAGTATAGTTGTACGGAACCTGCGAATTGGAATTACGGTTACGTGTAAAAAAATCATGTCCTAAATTACGTTGTCAATGTAAATCGCGCTTTGTACATCGAAACATTTGTCGCGCAAAAGAATCAAGCGAGAGTCTTAATTTAAAGAGAACGATTTATATCTAAAATCTAAAATTACAGTACAAACAGAATAATGAACATTAAGAAATGTTTCAGAGATTATTAAAATTTTTACATTATTAAAATTTTACATTATTAATTTATTTTACATTATTAAAATTTTCTGCTGAGCAACTTAGAGAATCAATATGCGAAGTACCAAACTCGATACATCCGACGTGAAATTCTGATTGCAAAATTTTTGACTAGTTTTTAATCCGATTCACGAAATTCGACTACGCGAGCAACAATCTTTATCGCGACCATAAGATTTTCCTCTTACATTTTCCGACGGTAACACCGTCGCGATCTTCGCCGCTGTTCAATCTCATTCATATCAGACATGTATATAGTAGGGAAAATTCAGAACGCACGGCTGTACGGTGAATGCCTTATGAATTTTAAAACGTACAATGTTCAAGCACGGCCATCGAAATGCAGGGGAAAAAGTGAGCGGAAAATGTATTCAGGGGCGCGAAAGCATCGAAATTACGACCGTCGACGGCTGCTTCTAATGTCCATGAGGACGTTCCGTTGCCGAAGGGAGAAAGTATAAACGTTGTCACTCTTATACTCGTAGGTATTTCGAGGGCTGAGGGCAAGTGGCACGGTTACGATGCTGCATACCGGAGCGCGGATTCCGGTGTGCCGTCCATGCGCGCATTCCGCGCACAAAATTATTTTAAATTCTCGGAAGGCAACCAAGCCTCTTCCGAGAAAAGTGTAATACGTATATCATCGTGAATAAGCGGCTTTCTGCTACAAGCCGCTAAAATGCGTCGAATGTTTCGAGGACACGGGTTCGCATAGATTCCAGAGTTAACGAGCCCTCTTTCCCCATGTAATGTCCTACATTTTACTATTTTACGAAATAACGAAATATTTTACATTCAGTTCATTTCGACCTTTCCGATCGACTCGCATGACAATAAATGTATGTTTGTAAAAAGGGGGTGCAATTGTTACCTTGTGTTGCTCGCAGAATGTCACAATGATGGGCAGACACACCCCCGGAGCCGGATTCCTGTCCTCGATCACGAAATGCGTACTTTCAGGTATCGAGATCACAGCCGTGTACATGCTTCTGTTCTCCAATTTGAAGTCATTTTCAGGATACGCTAATTAATGAAAAGAATGTGGACGCTGACATGAAGAGGATTCGTTAAAGATGCCATCGGTGAAAGTGTCGTAATTTATTTTCGTGTCCGAGACGTATACAAGCTAAACCATTTGTCACACTGGCTTGATAGATCTGTCGCATTCGAGTCAAGAAGTATCAATATACCTCTGTGTTGAAAACAGTCACGTTCCGGGTGCCTAGCAGGACGGACGGGATGTGTACGTTGTGTGCAAACTTTTGTAATTATTAACGTGTCAACTGCAGACACGCGGCACCACGATGTTACCTTAATATTATCATCCGGTGTTTTAATTTAAGGATTGAAAGGATTATAAAAAGTGTCTATTGCATACCGACATTTCGCAATTGTTTAGAATAATTGATATAAAAACTGATTGGTATGATCGGTGTGAATCTGTCGATATATCATGCATCCTCTCAGAAAGAATCTCCGATAACGAAACGAAACACATGCTTGACCTATTTAAACTTATCACAACCTCGTGCAGTAAAAAGAAAATAATATTAAGATTGAATCAATAATTCTTCTCCTATTCTGCTTTCTCAAATTAAATTAGATTGACTTACTGTATTGACATAAGGATAACATATTGTACAAAACTAATAAGAATTTTTCAATGTCGCCAGCGATAATTAACAACGTCAGTATTTTCTTTACTATACCTGTTACTTTTAATAGTACAGAAAATTTATTGCGAAAAGTATTACCTTAGCCTGGGTTTGAACCTAGACCTAGGCGGGCACCAATTCGACCACCGAGGCACATGATAATATTTGTCGCAATAACAGTACAACGACGTTGTCAACGCGTCTATTTCGACTTTTGTGAATTGCGCGCCGATAAGGGTTGTCGGATATGCGATTTTTAAGTTTTCCCTCCTCCACCCCCCTTTCCCAATTGCGTGGGAAACACCATGTTTCAGGACGAATAATCAACTAAGTTGATATTGTAATATGTTTTCGCGTTTAAAATAAATCTTTCAATGTTGCAACGCATGTGTCAACTTTATTTTATTCTAGATTTAAGAAATTTGTATTAAGAGATTATTCCTTTCTCAATAATAAATGTGATTGCCGCTATGTCAATCCTATTTTACAATAGGAAGGGTAATGGCATCGGATCCGGAACTCTCTCTCTCTCTCTTCTGGAGGTATTATAATTTAAATTGTTATTACTTGTTTATTACATTACTGAAAGCATTAATACAAATTGCAGCTTTCATTTGCTCTAATGGCATTGGCGATTATTATTTTAAAAGAGGGATTAAGGGAAGTAAAGTGCACATAAATTTGAAACTGTAATTAATTATTTTACTCATGTTATTATGCGCATTAATTTATGAGTGTTATTTCTTTCTTGCAAACTCTCTCGTTAAATGTACACCGAGAATACTACGAATCTGACTGATTTATTAATATCGGCATTCAGTAATGACAGTAATACCTGGATAATGCCAGTATTATCGAAAAATTATCTGCGTGCGCTATGACAATTTCGGTTATATACGGCGTTTGAAGTACTGCCTACAATACTGGTATAATCAAAGGTTTTCAGCGTGACGGTTTTATAAAAATGAAAGTATGCGCGAAATGTAATTGCTGAAATTATTTCAGTATTTTCTTCTTTAATTCGTGCTATAAATCGTGAAATAATCATTTTGTTGGCTATTGATATAACTTGTCGATTGCAGGTTCAATGTGCACGAGATATTTATTCGATGTAGAAATATAGAAAGGTGTGAGTTTTTTAAGACACGGAAAGAGAGCTCAACGAGACATGTCTCTCGTTTGTTACCGAGTTAATGTTGACATGTGGAATCAAGTGGATTACTAGAACTCACGGCGCTATTGATCTTTCAGTCTCGCGTAGCTCGTTGTTGCACATGCACGCATATTAAAGCGTTCGGAGGGCTTAACAAGCATGTTTATTCCGGTCAAATACCACGCGTCGATATTTGCATCGTGATGTTTTTCAACTTTGCTTGCATTATTTATACCTCGCCGGAAAAACAACCGTACCTTGTTAATGCTTGCATATATTTCGGTGTTAAAATTTTCCATTTTCAAATTTTAACAACGTTCAAAACCGCTCATTGATATTCCTCATCGATGCCCAGATTGTACCGCGAACATTTTAATTGCGATTAGATCGGAAAGGATGCTTCACTCACTTTTGAAGTATGCGGCTAAACCGCCGGCAATGGCCAGGAGAGCAACGGCGTTAAGCAGAACCTGCACAAATCTGAACCGTAGTCTTCCCGTAGTCACGTAGTGGCTGCCAGTCATGTCTCTGATTATCTGAGCAGACAGATCAACAATTCAGAATGCGTGCTTTCGTGTTAAAAATGCACGCGGCAACAAAACAAAAACGTGCGCGACACGAAATATAAATCTGTGTCTATATGAAGTTTATATGTCAAGTTTAAACGTCTAATTTTACGATGTCTTTGCCTCTTCGTTTGTGCTGACGAGAATGTTGTTACATTTAAGCGCTTACTTTATGATGTAAGGAGCTGTTATTCCCAGCGTGCATCCTGACGATGGTCTGCAAACTGGCCGGCGTACTCGTAGACTTCGTTATCGGCCTGCCAGATGAGTTATCAGGCTCCGACACTAAGGCTCTGTCTGGAAGACGTTAGGGGCCGATTATCGATTTCTTTGTTATCAATTTATCAATAAGTTGCGACTCTCTTCCAAAACTCTCTTACAAATTTTACAAATCGAGAAGATAAGTGGAGAGTGCACGAGCTGAGGTTTTCTATAGATGAATTTCGCGATGGGAAACTTCTTACTTCCTATTCCTCTCGGATAAACTGCTTTAACGGTAACGTAGCGACGAGAGAAAGAGAAAAAGGAAACAAGGTATGACGCTATAGGACAGAAAAAGCTTTCTGTCTCGTCTTAGTTGTCGCGTTTTGCCTCGGCGTTTATTTGTCGTTCTCAAGAAAATACCTTGAGCTCCGCGAGAAAGACGGAATATAAAAAAAGGAATTTCAATTTGTGAGATGTATCCTGTTATCGTGAAGTATGTCATAAAACACACCTCCCTTATATTTTAATCTTTCGTAATCTGATTCAACTTCCATAGATAAACCGATATAAGTATTACGTTCTCATTTTAATATTATCGTGTTTTGTGTAATGGAATTTTATAGAAATTTCTCAAAGATATATGATTTGCTAATTAATTATGGACTGCGTTGAATATTTGGAAAACTATGCGGAGTAACATCGAAAAGCACTATGTTATATCTATTTTGACACGTACGCGCGATAGTTTAAAGGACAATTCCTAAGCATTGCAAAAACTATCATGAACGAAAAATTGTATTGCAAAAATCTTTCATCAAAGAATAATAATTTCTATAATGTAAAATTGGGCTGAATTTTGTCGTCAGAAATTACAAGGACGTTAATTTATTCATTCACATATTCTTAATTAAATCAAGTAAAATTAAATATTTTATATGCGCTATTTAAAATGCATAGATCGAAAACTGAATCACTTGATCTTATTTTCCACATTCGTGAAAATAATGTTTGTAAAATTGAATGCAAGTTTTCCTCTGGGTCTGACGTGAAGCAGAAATCGCAATCAGTGACTTTTTTTCTAGTGCCTCTGTTAGTTCTTCGCTAACGATAACACCTTGATGAGCTTTAGCGAAGTTTGAACATACCTGGGACTTTCCCGTGTTTGTGAGGCAGAAGGGGAGCTTCCATTGTCTTGCTGGTGTAGCTGGGCGAGCTGGTTTGACTGAAACTATCCGAGGAAACGTTGCTGTCCTGCCGGACGCTGATAGGTTTCGGTACGGGACTCTGACAAATAGCGCTCAGGGGTGGTGGTAGATTCGTTTGCGTTGCTTTCGGCAGTTTCTCGAGTTTCTCACCACTGCCGCCGCCGATTCGCTCCTTCCTCAGATTATGCTGAAGAATATTCCTAGCCCTCTCCATGTCGCTCTCGTATTTGTTTCGCATTATTGGATGCTGCTGTTGCTGATCTATGGCCCTTTGCTCGCCGTGGTAACGTTTGTCAAGATCATGCGGGATTCCTTCCAGGTCTTCGTATCTAAATGCAGACGAATCACGCGTTTATATCTACTGCGGGTTAAATAATCCACTTACGAGCGCTTTCGAACGAGAATTATGAAATTCGGTGAACTGACGTTCGACGAAACTAAGGAAGGAGGAAGCTACGTGGAGGCATGTTGTGCACCTGAGTGGCTTGTCCTTGTTTATTCGTCTTTCCATCTCTTGACGTCGACGATAATCGTCGTCTTCGTGCAAACGCCTCTCCAGGTTCTTCGAGGCTGCCTGCAACTCCTCGAACTTCGATCGTCGCTCGCGGCCGGAAGTCAAAATCGTTGCGTACTTTAATTCATCTTTTTGAAAAATCTCTCTTCGCGATAACAACACCACCTCGTCCCTGGACTTGCTTTCGGACGTTTCTCTCTGCTCGCAGCTGCCGTTCTCCTTCGTAAATTTGGATACTTGCTGTCTACATGAAAAGAATAGAATTTCTTGTGAGCACTAAAATTAAAATTATAGTATTTTTCGTATCATGTAATGACTGCGTTTTTGTATTGTCAGAACCGTTAGATTATTAGTCAATCGCGGGATTTATCGATTAATTTATAAATATCAGAAGACGTTGAGCAATTTCTTTTAATAAAAATATCATTTTTATAAAAAATACTTGCTTTAAAGAAATACGTCGTAATAAGTAAGCGTTTCTCTTTTGGGAATATTTTTATTATATATTGCACTGTTATTTCCCGTAATACCATTTATACTCTCAACGAGAGATACTTGGATAGAGAAGTGCACTGACAGTTTCTAGAATTCAAGTATTCTCGTCTCGGATTCACCGGAAATGAAATCAGAACTTACGCTTCGCTAAACGAAGCGTAATATCTGTAATATCTTCCTACAGGTCGGTTCGAATCGCGAAGTATTAGTAACTTGAATCCAAATATAGTAATGCGCGACAAAATCCTGCATTCGAGTGGTTTTACCTCACTACTGAAAATAAATACGCGCTAATAGTATAACGAGATGGGAATCTATATACACGACGGCGTTAAATAATTTGCAACGCGTGCATGATGTATATAAAATATGTATGATCATTTTTTTCAAGTAAGATTACGGGAATATATAGACTCGCATATTTCTTTTTACCTATTATGCCGCGACACCGTGCCCTGTCGTTGTCGGCCATTCGGATCCTCGAACTTCGCCTCGGTGCTCTTAATAATTCTCTCGTGAAGCCGTTTCTCGAGGTCCAAGGAGACCTTCTGCAACTCCTCGAAACTTGAATTTTGTGCGAGCTTACGTCCTTCCTGGAAATTCGCTTGCTCGAAATCAGCTACAAAATCGTTATGCTCATTCGTTTCCCGCGAGTCCTTCGCGCCATAATTCAACAAGTAATCCTGCAACTCGTCGAAAATTCATATAAACAAACTACATTCTGAATAAAGTAATAATTTTGATACGATTGGTGCTCTTTAAATCGATTAATTTTAATTTTAAGGCAACAAGTCGATATGTAGATATTAACTTTGACAACTCAATAACTTTGACACTGAATGAAGATATAAAACATCTGTCTGTTTTTATTCCTGTATTAATGAATAAATGCTTAAAATATAGATGATTAATTCATTTTCGATCTAATTTATATTACATCTATCTACATCAATAAAAAAATATATTTTTTAATGGTCGTATGAATTTATGAATGTATCACATTGCAGTTTATAGCTTGGTTTCGGACTCGGTCGACATAATCATAGAAAATGTTACTGATTACATTATCTTTAGTTTAGTAGCTTTAAAGCTTGATTAAAAGTGATATAGGACAGTTAATATCACCTGCGATGCCTGATTCTGATTTCTGAAGGGATCCAAATTTATAAGTTTTTGATTCGTCGAGTCCACGCTATTCCACGCAGTCGACATTCCTGACGAAGGTGCGGACGAAGAATCGCTCGTCTTACAAGGAGTCACTTGATTATTTTGTCTGGCTGTGAGTTGCAGTGGTATAGGTTTTTCGTTCTTGCTTCTCTTCGGAATTGCCGGCGGTCTCAATGGGATCGGAGGTGGTGCTACCTGCGCCAAGAGGAGCACGATTTTTACGTCTATGCTCTTATTCTAATTATAAAATACACAGATGCAATCGTTAAGGCTTTGTTATTTAGAAAGCATAGAAAACTAAATATATCTCGAGAATTATCCATTTCATTTATCGCCACCAATTTTGGATAGTGCAAGTTAGAAGATCTGATAAAATATGTATAATACATTTAGAAATTAAGAATTGAACTACCATTTTGTCTGATTTAAACCTCTCACAGCTCAATTGTTCTTATTTTACTTTTCACATTTTTGCTTCATTGTGCGATCATACAATTTTTGATTGGACTTTACTTTTGACGAAAAGTTCTATATTTACTTTAGCTAAACAGTCCGTAACTTGGAAACATCACCGTTTCGTAATGAGAATTCTCAGTGGCAACGAGCTACGTGATTTGCGTAAATTGACGTGAAAGTTACGCGCAAAGTTACAACGCTTATCATCGCTCGAAGACAAGCATCAAGTTTAACTGCCTTGTTGACACACGTAAAGCAACACGCAAGTTTATTAACTTCAAACATTTATCATCGGCAAACTCTCTTTGCGTGAATCACGCTTTAATACCTCGATTAATACTTTAGATGGGCCACATGGGATTTTAGCATGGCTTTCGAGACTTTGAGTATCATCATAATTCTCGAATTTGTTGATAAAAATGTTATCAACTGATGCTTCAGTTGGCACTACTATTTATAACAATAGTAGTAAGGGTAATCTTTATAATAATTGTGTATATAAAATGCATATAATATTGTATACACGTACTTAAAAATAGACATTATTAAAAATTTTCATGCAAAAGCAGCTTACATAATAAAATTTATTATTTGATTAAATTTTTTAAAATCTATTTTTCATGACTATAAAAATTGAAAATGATAACTTGAAAAATGCAAATCTAAAAATAGAAATGTTGAGTGTCTATGTACAGTACTAATAATAGCAGATCTTGTAAAATTAAATTGTTTATTCTTACAAATTATGCTGAAACCAAACAGGAAAAGTAAGAACTTGTGAAAATTAATACTTGCAATGTTAGTGAACCGGTTTGTGTGTGTCCAGTGTGTGTTAAAGCTGTTATGTACCTATCGCAGCGCCGAATTTCAATCTGTGTCTTTTTCTTTTCTGTCAAATCAACAATCATTATATAGTTACAGCTCAGACTGAACTTTTTTATGAGATAAATTCCAATTAAATTAAATCAACCTTTTATACCCATATAAATAATAGTTTTTCACCCGCATAACGTCCTCTAATTGTATATTTTATGTCTGCTTAGCGACAATAGATATTATTTGCGGATAAAGATGTTTGCGTTATTATAGCACGGTAAATTATCGCAAAAAATACATCCTGTGTTTTGCATCATCTTTTTTCATGAGAGTCTTTTTGGCACAGGATTCCAATTTTGTCGGACAATCTTCCCATCTACCGATATTAATTCGCAAAGTGGCGGCATACCACTAACTACCGGGCTTTAGTCGTGTGATTTAAGGTGTCGAGATTATGTGGTACGCTGGAATACCGACCATGCGGTAACTTTCCAAACTTACCTGCGTAGGAGGAGGAGAGGAGATACGAAGTTCGAAAATCCTTTTAATATCTTCTGTCTCGCCATCTCCTTTTCCCCCTTAATCATTCCAGCAACTTCCTCTTTAATATCTCGCAATTGTTCGACATATACAATGTTTACATAACAATAGATAGCTGGCAGATTATGAATAATTGCATTCGTAATTAATATTCTTTTGAGCAAGTACGTGTAACCAGTATTACGAGTATACGTATAACAATATTTTATATTAAGTAATCTTTTATAGACAAATACTATCTACAATAGATGCTACGTATCTATCGTAATTTTTCAAATTTTTAACATCTTCCCAAGATGGAAAATATCGAAGCACTGTTATGTGTAAATGTGCTGTTTTAGTTTCTTTGTAAAGTTTTCGATTATTCCCATGTCAATATGTTAATGCAACAATAAAAGAAAACGATTTTTCTAATGTAGATTTATATCAATTATTACACATATCTTTTTTTCCAAAGCTCTATACCGCTGCAATCCGCTTTGTTACATGATACATATATGAATTAATAATGTTGATAAATAAATATTCATGAGTAATGAGTGATTTAGTACTGAGTAGTACTGAAGTAAGATGTTTTATTTGTGAAATGTTATCAAGATTTGTTAGATAGTTAATTTCGAACAGACGCATCCAAAAGTATGCAGAAACGAATATTGTCTAAACCTAAGTAGAATACTAATTCGTCAGACTAAAGATAGGACTAGACACAAGAATATAAAATATGTTACCGCCGGTGTAGCAGAATGTCGACGTGGTATTGGCGGTGGTACATCATTTCCCGTGGGTGGTGGTTCCGGAAGCAGAGAAGCTCTGGTGGGCAGACCAACGCTATGAATTCTGCTCTCTCTGAAATATGAAATAATTACTAAGTTATCTCTAGTCTTTGTTTTCTTAATTTCACAATGCATGTCAAAAATAGTATGGAAATAAGAAAAATAACAAACTGACCAGCAATTCAGTATTTGAACACGGTGGAAATAATTCAAATTACGCGAGAAATTCTACATACAATTAGATTATTAACAAATAAATTTTCTTATTTTATTCATTTTTGTTATATTTTCATTTGTTTACAGGTGCTCGGTTATCTTATCGCGTCAGTTATTTATAGATTATTTAAAAGGAGATTCATCAACGGATGTTATGAAATTCCATGTGACAGATAAGATTATGTAAAATTAAATACTGTTGGTAAATTAAGTCGTTTATTTGTTTTCGTGCAAAAAGATGTGTGTATTTTTATGTCGTATATTTATCGCGCTTTGTTTGCACGTTAAAATATGAATGTACTTCTTTATGGTGTACAACTAATTTCTCAAAAAAATGAGTCTTCAACTTGAGAATTAAATTATTATAATATTACAATTCACGCATTTGTGATTGTATCATTTCTTTCCCTAAATCTTTTTGTATCCTTTAGTAACAAAAGAATTAAAATTAAGTATTAATATAAAAAATATTAATATGTAACAATATACTAATAGTATAACACGATATCGATTTATGAACAATAGGAGATAATTCTCAATCCTGGGAGATTATCGTAGAAATGATAAAATGTGGCTTAACTGAATGGCCTTTAATATTTATTGCATACACTTTATTATCATAATTACATTGTTTTAATTATTTTCAGATATTACGGAATAATGGAATGTATGTGTATGCACGTATATAGTATTTCATATACGCTGAAAAACAGAGTGTAAAACATTGCGAGAAGTTTTTGGTTAGGTCATCATATCGACCACTTGGGGAATACTCAGGAAAAACAAGTTGTATTGGTCATCACAGCAATTTTCATTATGCTTATTTATATAATAACTTCAGCAATTAGCGCCGATTACGCGTTCACATATAATTCCAATGAGATTACGTTGTAGTTAACACGTTTCACATGATACTGCTTTATGTAACACACGTTTGACGCGCAAACAATGCGCAATAAACATACGATATTATAAAAGTAATAAAAAGAAAAATAAATAAAATACACATATCTTTGTGCACGATAACAAATAAACGATTCATTTTACTCATTTTTCTTTTTATCAACAATTGTATTCGCATCAACACACATAAGTGTTGCTACCTACGCCTTGCGGTTACGACTGTCAGTAATGTCATTAGAAGAGATTCAATCAACGTTGATCTCATCATTAAATGCCTTGAGCACCAAGCATTAAAGTTACGCGCGACGAAGCAATATTATAACTATTGTGTTGTAAATATATTGCGAATGTCGACCTTGTATTTTTTACTATAAAAATAGATTTGTTGAATACTTTTTGCGTCATTGAGATTGATCATACATTATTATTTATACACGACTTTCAGAAATAAGATTTATTGTGCTCCAACTTCATTTTTTGATAGAAATTAAAGCAGACGTTCCTCAGATTTCCCCGTTTTTTTTTCTCATTGTCTTTCAGGTTTTGTTTCCGTTTGTTTTCGTTTTCAACTTCGGTTTTCTTTTTGTTTCCGCAAGAGGATTCGGGTCAACTGCAAATTCCGTCCATGAGTCTGGATTAGCAAAAGCTGTGGCACAGAAGCTAATACCTCACGTTCGGTCAAAGCTTTTGCTATTGACTTCGAGCATACTGTTAACGTGGGAAGCACTGCAAAGCCTCGAGTTAGAAATTACAAGTTCTCATAACTTGCAGTACTCGATAAAATTATGAACAATATTTCCGCACCAAAGTATCTTACAATCTAAATTTGTTCTAAGAGAAGGAAAGAGAATATAAATAAGTTATATAGAAGAATACTAATAGATTGAATCAACATCGAAAAGTTATATCTGTATAAGAAATTATTTGAATCTACCAAGATTGCAATATGTATTATAATACCTATTACTTTTACTAGAAATTACATTAATTTTATTGCAAATTTTTCACGTAGCTTTTATGCAACGTTATTAATGTTTTTCGCATAGACAGGTGGACAGCGCTATCTAAATTTTGGATAAAATATTTATAAAAATAAACTCTGAGACACGTAAATAATGTTTTCTTTTAAATTACGCTGAAAATAAAAAAAGTTAACACAAATATAAGTAAAGTAAATGATATTAATTGTATGTAACATTGGACTGAAAATATAAGCAATCAAGATTGTATTAGTTTATAGATTTTTATAAAATAAAAAGTATATTCAACTCCTTTATTGTTATATTATATAAGTGTAGTTTGTTATGGAATATTTGCATAATCTTCCTTTTTATTGAGGCTGCATATGTTAGCTTACCGAACTTAAAATGTATTCTAAACATGAATATGTTATAAGATTTTCTTTTATATGCACTTGCATAAATATTTTAATAATACACATACAGATACGAGCACGCACACACACACCCAATTACGCAAACTTAAATATTTTAATTACCGCTTTCCCTAAGTTGTATCGATCCAGTGGAAGTGTTATAACCGCGGCACGTTTTCCTAGTGAGTCGACATAATGCGGCATTTCGTTACCACACAATGACCACCGCGAAGTTTGTATCTCCAGTGAAAGTATACATTATCTCGTACATCATCCACACGCTCGTAACTACCCGCGGTTCTCGCGCACTAAGCTCGGACAATCGTATTATTATAATTAATGCTCGGCAAGTTGTTATTTAATTAGGATAGAGAAAGAGAGAGAGGAGGGGACGAACCGCTAACTCGCCGTCTGATTAAATATCCCGCTGCGTTTACACTAAATTAATTACTGACGTGCCGCGAAAGAGTTATACTTTCCACGAAATTCATGGCTCTCTCGTTATCGCGGTATAAGCCGAATACGAAATTGCCGGCGGGAAACGGACGGCAAAACGAATTAAAGTTTCTCGTTTTTTACTCTCTCGCAAATGAAATGCGAATAGAGCTATTTCAGTTTTTAAAAGCGCGCAATTAATGTCTAATACGTAGTTCTGTCAAAACTCTTTTACCTCGGCCGGCGTGTCGGGCTCGTATCATCATCGCGCGATTCCGTAGCGGACATGTTGATTTCTGTAATGCAAAGCAAAAATATACTTTTTAGAGGGATAGCAATACGATAAAAATATCAAAAATGTTATTAGCTGTAAAATAAAATATAAATGTTATTAGCTATAAAATAAAATTTTTTTAATCAAAGAAAAATCGCAACTGTAATACTATTACGATAATCTATATCGTGCTGTTAAAATTGTCACTAAAGTGTTATAAGAGTTCAGTTTTATATAATTTACACAACTTCGCCCTCTCGAAACCAGAGTTATGAAATTTTCAACGAGATCGAATTCCAGGTAACATAACTATAATTCCAGTGGCTTAATTTTTATCGACGTTATTGTACAATTTTGATGAACATTTTAATATTATTAAAGTTGGCCGCATTCCCTTCGGCTTCGCAAAACAATTTTTCCTTGCCAGATAACTCTTTTATCGAAAGTGATATAATTATTTGAAATTAACGCTGTCCATATGTATTGCACTTGTAAGTGCTCTGTTACAAATGCATTGCAGATCGAGAAAAAAATAAGGAAATTATCGTATTAAGTGCAATGTGTTACTATTATTTTTATATTGATTTTCGCGGTTTGTAGCATAAAACTACTACGTTATTTTTTACAGTATTACCACCGATTATAAATTCTACTGTTGTATTTAACGACGTATCGTTGCATTTATTTTGAATCCTAACTGTCCAATCCTCATGTAGAACACTTATATTAAAAAATTAATTTATACATTTTCTCCGATAGATATTTTTAATAACAATATTTTCAATAACAATAAAAATAAGGATTTTATTAAAAATATTGTTAGATATGTTTTTTAATAATTTAATTATATAAGATCACTATTTATTATATTATCCTTTTAATTGTATTAGAGTCGGTTTTTCCTCAAACATAATTCACAAATTAATCAATGGTGATATAACTTACAGAGAAGCAGAGTTTCATATAATAAAACCTAGTATTTTATTTTGAACGAATCTCTCGTGCTGTAGTTTTAAATTTCAATTCGAATAGTGGATACAAGAGGATCTAGTTAAATATCATGTAGCGCAACGAATCTACGTACTATAACGTTTGATTCGAGGTGTCGATATGGTACAGACACCTATACGAGCAAAATAATTTATGGGCAACGCTTAGTATGACGAACGGGTCCAATCGCATACACCGGCATATCGGTTACGCGATATGCGGTTTCAAATCGATATAAATGCGACATCGCGCGCACGTGGCTGCTTTGATCGACAAGATTGGCCCTTTAACCAAATGGTCGGTCTGTAAACGATGACAGAGCTTCGGCTTTACCTCTCTGTGTGTCAAGTGGAAGCGCTATTCAATTTCCTTTCATGTCTGTATATTCTAACGTGCATATATAATTCATAATTGGCCGAGGGACTGAGCTCTGTCCATTCCCCAATCTGCAACCGGGATCGATCTGTATACCACCCTTGTTACACACATTTCCGTTTCAAATTCAACCATTCATCGCCACGCGATTCTCATCTCGTCACTCGGATAAATTCGGGAATTTGTTTTCGCGACGAAGAGGTGTGCGGACCACAAATAGATCGCAACATTCTTTCCTTGATTTTTACAAAAGTTATTTTTACCGTTGTCCACGAAGTTTAATTTCTGTAGGTATTTTATTATTATTTCTTACAAAAAAAGTAATATTTTTAACAAATAAAGTTAAATAGGACCATTATGATACACGCATAAATCCAGCAAACGAGAGCGCCTTTAGGTCCAAGCAAGATGTTGGTAGTTTATAATTGTAATCTAAAATGTGAATTCATATACATTGGAAAACAGTATCTTCCTGGATCTTTGCGATCGAGTCTTTAGGATCGCATCGGAGTCTTTTGGCATCGAAGGAAAAGGGGGAAAGACTTTAATCATGGGGGACTGTTTTACCCGTGTAGCTTTTCACTTTTTATGAAGCTAACTTTGGCTGGAAAGTAATTTCCATCGGCGAACGACTGTGTGAATGAGGAAAAAAAGGATCGTCGGAATTCCGTCGGAGGCGCCTCAGCCACTTTTCATTATACAGCTACTTTAGCGACCGCTTGCGGAGCCAAGGATATTGCGCGTGAAAATGCGTTGCCTCGGAAATCGGTTTCATCGTATTCATCTCTTCGACTCACCCCCCCCCCCCTCCCCCTCCCTTCCCTTCAGTCTTTCTGTAAGTTTTCTCTGTTCGCTGAATTTTTATGCTTTCAAATGCCTTCGAATTTTTATTAGACTCAGATTCGTCCCGTTACATTTCCACGATGTTTCTAAATTTCCTATACCTACTGTTCGAATTGAAATTTAAAACTACGAAAGTTAAAATTTTCCATTAGGACACATGATATTACTCTTTGCAAAGTTTGGCGCCCATTTTTATTGGTAAAAAGGGGTACGTATCGCTATTTTTATGTTGTAAATGATGTGATATGAATAGCGTCTTACGAATTATTATAAACCACAATCAGATGCAAATTAATAATGAGATCTTATTTGTCGCTTCATTTAGCAAAGACTTGTTTTAAGTGTTTTGACAGAATTTTAATTTGTTACGAGACATCGAATTCTGAAATTTAAAGATATCTGAAAAGATTAAAGCTGCTTTCTCATTTAGAATATTGGCCGCATTTTTCTTAAAAATCTCACTGCGCAAAAAGTACAACAGTTGGCGTATTCCTGCTTCTCTTCTCCTATCTTTATGGATTTGTTCGCAAAGACATATGTACAATATATGTATCAAACCTCGACTGTTACAATGTATTTCAATTTTTCATCAAAATCCTATAATTCGCAATCAATATGGCACGTGCAATATTGAATATTAAATGAAAACATAAATTCTACATTTAATATCGAATAACCGATAACACCGTTCTGTGCTTTCGAAAGTGAAGCAATACGCTATCGTCATATATCGTTCTTGCAAATTTAATTCTACGTTATCAACGAGGAGACGAATGCCAGTGTTTAATGTTTAACTGTATTTACATTGGATTGCATTTCGATGGAATTACCATTGTGTCCAGTTACAGTGCGAATAATCGAATGATCTGCAAGTAAAAATGCACATGGTATCGCAAGGACATGCATGCGGTGAGCGCATAGCACGTTCATACGCCTTATCGTCTCCGTCAAAGGGAATCCTTCGACAATAGCGAATCGGCAAACAATTCGTTTAATCAGCACTGGTAGCAGCCAATTAATATATGGTATTCCCAGTAAATCTCACTTAAAGGGACAGTTGGTCTAATTAGAAATCCACCTCTCTCTAACGTATCGCCGTTTAATTTACACCCCTCTTACGTATCTTCCTCGTCTTGTGCGCGTGACCTACTATAGAGGTAATTCCTCTATCGATTCGTAAAATATACCCAATAGCATTATATTCGTCGATTTACACGTATTTTCCATATCTTAATACACTGGTGATAAGATGATGACATATTAAACTATTTGTATGTGTATGTGTGTTGAATTTAGTATCCAAATAGTTTATTCTCAAAATTTATATTCTTGTAAGTCGTTTTATTAAAAAGACGCAATACTAATTTATTATGCAAACATTTAAAATGCTCAATAATACAATTTCAATAATCTGATGCTTCTTATGCAATTATTATTAATAATTATTATCGATAAGTAAATGTTAAAATTAAAATGTCTTTGATGTAAATTACCTGTTACAAAAAAATTAATTATTGTATTATAAAGAAAGAAGATGTAGATGGTGAATGCCGTCGTGAGTAGCTTAAATACAAACTATGTATGTATATAAGTAGCTCAGCATATATTTACGTAATTATGTAAATACCACTAAAGCGTCTATTACAATTTACATTATAAATGTAAGATGACTGAGGCATTCATTATTATTTAATATTTAATCGAGTATTTAGTTTACAGATAAATATGAGTGTCATCAGATTAGCATTAGCTTTTTGATCTGTAAATTCTTTCGTGCATCTCTGAGATAGGTCTTTTGTAGAAGAAGAATTTTATTGAGGATTTCATTTGATAGCTATCTTGTTTCTATTGCTTTCTAGTATTAAATGTCATTGTAACTAATTGTAAGTTGTATCAATTAACTTAATCAAATAAAATCTGCTTAGCAGTTAATTAATTAAGGTTTCGTTGCCGTTAAGAAACCTCTATAAAATCCTTAAAGCTTTACAGTTTGCGCGAAAAGTCTTTTACTTTCCATTATTCATAAATTAAAAGATATAGAAATATCTACAAGTTTTGTCCAAATTGAACAAAGAAACCATAAATAAAGCAATAGGAGACAATTCCAGACACTTTGTATAAAAATTTTTGCACGATGAATAAAGTATATTATCGAGCCAAAGGATAGTGTGTTCCAAGGACTTGACGCAATCCTATCGTACAATGGAAGCCTTCTTAGTACCGTTTCTTCGCATCTCGTAGATTGAATCAATTTATATCGTTGACAATATTGTGCAAAGCTTCCTTTGGACTTTCGCAAACTCAATTAATTCACTCGGTCTGATAGAACAACGTTTGCGCCTGCAATCCTATTGAAAAACACGTTTGCAACGAAAAATCTCGCAATTTATTGTTTATATTTGCAGAAAAAACTAAATGTTGTAAATATAACAATTTTGTCATATTCTATAAATTGCACACATCTGGAAAAAATTTTGGAAGGAATCAGAAAAAAAGAAGAAAAAAGAGAAATCATGTAAAAATATTAAATTATGTGTAAAGCATAATATATATCCGAGAATTATAATAAACGACATATAATATTGAAAAATATATGAACATTGTTTAGACCATCTTTTATGTTAGTTAAAACTGAACAGAAAAACAGAGAATAAATACACATGTTTAAATGAACTTCTGTCGTCTTTTTTGACATATTAATAATATCCTAAATAAAACAATTTTAGAAAGAAAAATAAGACAAATTTTTTAGTTCTCTTAAGTCATAAAAATATTATCTAGAAATGCATATCTGCTCGTTAAACGCCAAGTGAA